AGTCGCAAAATCTTGTCCACGAAGTCTTGCACGCGTAATGAGTTCTTGTTTTGCAAAAAGATGCTTTGCAAAATACGGAGTTTTCTCGCTTAAAATGTCAGCTTAAGCGAAGAAAAATTGACTCACCTTCTTTGTAACGATTTTCCATGTTTCAGCCGACGAAGGAATGGGTAAATAAAGTAAACTTGTCGAGTTTTGATCTCGAAAACTTTTTCAAATTTGGTGCTTGCGTGATTAGCGCGCGAAAAGCCAAACAACTTGACGCCACAACCATGTTTACATACTCTCATGCAAACACTGCTCTCGGCCAATCAGAGCGCGCGTACTATCTTAGTTATTTTATAAAAGGGAATAGTTTAAAGCTAGCGTTCTCGTTTGTAGTCTTCTTTTCATTTTAAGCAACAGCTTAACGTTCATAACGCATTTAATTGTTGAATACTGTTACTGTGAAAGCCAAGAGAAAATTGTGGTTCAGTAATTTCAGTGCTATTCAACACCGTGTTTACACATGAGACAGTTTTTCAGGTGAATTTCAGATGCGTTTGACAGCTTTTCTTGATCCCTGTTGTTATACTAAAACTTCATTTTATTCCATTTCTGTACATAGCAGTAAAACTTGTATCAGCGAATTCAATGTTTAGCACCCTTGGAATATTGTTGATTACGAGCATTTATTTCACCCACAATTGAGTGAGTGAGGAGAATAGAGCGAGTGAAACACGTGGCGAGTGCACTCCCAGATCACGTAATAACTGAAAAGGCAATGCGAGGGGAGGCGAGAAGCAACAGCAAGAAAGGCTGTCTAGGTGATTTTATTAATATTGCCAGTTACACTTCCTTATCCGCCATGGAACTAAACGATAGCGATAGTGATTTTGTCAAGGTTAATACAACATGAGTTACTAGAAGTTTTAGAGTTTGATAAATATTGTAACTGATGATTATGACTTGTACACCATCTGGTCCAGTGTGACCAAGGTTAATACATCACGAGTTGCTAGTACTTTTAGAGTTTGATAAATATTGTAACTTAAAATTGTGACTTGTGCGCCCTCTGATCCATTGTGATCAAGGTTAATACGGCATGAGTTCCTTGTAGTTTTAGGGATTGTTACATATTGAAACTAACAATTGGTATAGTATTCCTATATTTCAGTAGAGTTTGTGTGGTATTTTGATAAATTTTGTGACTGATGAATGTGACTTGTACACCATCTGGTTCATTGTGGCCAAGGTTAATACAGCATTAGTTGCTAGTTGTTTGATTTTAGAGTTTGATGAAATCAGTGTCGTAATAGAAAGTTATTAGGGACCTTAGGCAACTAGAACGTCGACGTACCGGAAGTCAAAAATGACAACCGGAAGTTAATACTTCTCTCCTTTCAGTGCTCTAAACATAGGCATTCAGGTTCGTTGTGTGCCACAGAGGCGTTCCATCAAGCATCAAGCGAGATATCGAACTTCTGGTTTCTATTCATGACGTCCGGGAGGTCAGCGTTCTCGTTGCTTAAGTTCGTTATCACTTGGACTTAAAATTCTGCGAGGCCATGTTTGATAGACATGAGATCTTTGCATGTTTTCCATTCGAAAAAATTGTACTTTAATGAAGTTTGTATGATAATGACAAATTAATGGCGAAAAATGTAATTTAGTTTCAAAGAACGTACCCTTTTATTATAATCAAATATCGTCAAGTCGAGGGCGATTAATTGTGAATCAACTGCATCTGGTTGTGGATGCAATGAACATTTTTTACAAGCAAGTAAAAGAGAACAATGCTGACTGTTTTTAGCTTTAATTGCAACAAATTTAGTCATTCAGAATTGTATAATACATTTTTCAACTCAATTAAAGAAATTCTCATAGTACAAATGCTGAGTACTGAATTTCTTGTTAACATATAGCGTTTTCACTCACGTGGCTAATCACGTGGCCAGCAGCTTTAGAAATTCATTGCGCAAAAGAAAATCTTTGCATAAGAAAAAGCTTTAACTCCCACAGGATTGGTTTGAGACACCAACATGGCCGCCGTTTCACTATTTTAGGACACCAATACGTCGGACATGACGTCATGTGAAAACTCTCTATAGGTTATATTTAAATTCTGGGCGCGACCTTGAAATAGCTTGCGGTCAAGTTTCGTGTGGGCAGGTAAATTCAAGTTTACCTTTGTGCAAAACCCTGTGAAGGCAAACTTTTCTTTTGGATGAGTCACCATCTCATTAGACTTAAACTTCTGATTTTCGTTCAAAATGTTGAGAAACAAATGCGAAAAATTCATGTTCAGAGCCCAGTGGTTAGTAACGGTCGGCAGTAGTTGGGAAGTGGTGGGGGACAGCTCACTTGTGCAATACAAGACACGCTTTGTCCAAATATTCCACATCTTTTTCTTTATGGAGCACATTTTTGTCGATCCTCCCCCTAAGCTCGTACCCAGATCTCGCTCTGTTTTACGCCGTGGGAGGTCTGGTTACGAGATTATGTCTCCCTTCTCACTCACTCACTCTCTCAATTATTTATGAATACCCTCTGTTTTGTCACAATGAGAGCTGCATTGTTCTTGTTAAAACCAGTAGTGCTATCAAATGTTATTCAAGGTGGGAGCTTATCTGCTTCCTTTCAAGATTACAACTGTTCCCTAAGAATCCGGCCTTGATGGGCAAACTTATGTGGTCCTCAAAGTTACAGTCAGTGACCCTCATCATATTTGCACCTGCCGTCCCTACCCTCTAAGTATTGGACGTTACCAACAGAGGTTACGTTTGTATGGTTGATTAGATTTTGTGTGTAGATTGAAAACATAGAACTTAAGTTAAGCACGGTTTCATTAGTGACTCAGCGTAGTATGAAGGCCGAAGTTTGTTCTGTTAAAGTCACTTGAACGAGGTAAAATTTCCGAGCATGCATTTCCACCTTCCTTGTCCAAACGAGAAATTATTCCCTTCCAGAAACTATCAGGATAAAGGGTACAAGCTTTCGGTGCAAGGATTTTTGGGATCGTTTGGGTGGACCAGCGTTACCTATGATTGGTTAATGGTTGTCTTGGATACAATCAACCAAAAGAAAAACTAACTAACGTTCACCCAAAGGATCCCAGAAATTTTTGCACCGAGAACTTGTATCCCGGCCCCTTAACAGTTTCTGGGGTGGGGAATTACGGTGACGTAAATAACTTAAAACCCACGACTTGTTTAGCACAAATGATTGTTG